TTCTGAAGAAAGGTCCAGACCCGAAACGTCAACTTTCCTGCTCCTCTGATGCTGCTTGGCTTGCTGTGTTCATCCAGCTCTACACCTTGTTATCTTGGATTTGGGGAAAGGTGGTGTTTGACAAATTTAATCAAACTTTAAAAGGAAGCAACCAGTAGTGTTGACAAGGGGAATTCATTTCATGTAGTTTACACGGACTTTAGCAAGGCTTTGATATGGTCACTCGTGCGCACTGATTCAGAACATAAGAGCTGATGATATCCAAAGCAAAGTGGCACACTGGACCTAAAACTGGCTGCGAGACAGGAAGTCGAGGGGGATGGTAGAGGAGCGTTACTGTGACTGGACGTTTGCTTCCAGTGGGTTCCACAGGGCTCAGTACTGAGGCTGTCTGTAACATACATTAAATTATTTGGACTTAAATGCAGGGGTAAAATGATCAAGCAGCACACAGATGACAGGAAAATTGGTGGGGGGGGTGGAATGATGATGAGGATAGCAGTAAATTGCTGTAGGTTTTAGATAGACTGGTCAGGTGGGCAGGTGAGGAAAATGTACTTGGAGAGGGTTCTCAAAGCAAGAGATTACATTATGAATGGTAGGACCCTAGAAAGTACTGAAGATCAGTACATCCACACATCCTTGAATGTAGCAGGACAGGTACATAAGGTATTTAAGGCGGCATATGGGATAATTGCCTTTATTAGTCTCACATTTAAAATTCTTCTAATTTTCAAATTACTTTTTGGCCTCACCCTTTCTCTACTTCTGTAGCCTTGTCTAATCCAAGATCAAACGTGCCTCCTCACTCCGCAGCCTTTCACTGCCATGACCCTAATTTCTGGAATAATCCCCCTAAATATTTTCAATCTCTAGAACCTAAATTTGACTAAGGATTTGGCACCCACCCAGATAGCATCATATGCAGCTCACTGTTTGCCAATAACCTCAATGAGTATTTTTTAAAAGTGTTATAAGACCAGTATTTTTATATCACCACACTGATACTTACCTGTATTAGATGGGGTTGCTGGCAGAATAACACGTGGACGTGACCGGGCAGCACCAGTCATTAAGCTGCATTTTGCTCGTCCTTTGGTTTTGTTCCTTCGTCGTACTTGTAAACTTTGTCTACAAATACTGCAGGGGAGAAAAAAGATAACGTATTCTTGATAAAATATATTCTCTGTCAAGTTCTTTACGTTTCTCACTGGACATCAGGTCAACCTTATTAACAGATTTATTTTCTTCTACATGCTTTTTTTGGGGTGTCAGTTAATATTTGCATGAACTCCCGTGTGTTATTGGGTTATTAACTATTTTTGAAAAGAGGGTGACAAACAAACCAAAAAATGTATCAAATTCTTTGAAGTTTTAACATTCTTAAAGTATACAGTGGACAAATCAGGGATTGTGATGTTTCTTTAGTCACCTTCGCCCACGTACTCAAGTTAGCAAATATGCAATTACTCAGCAAAAAAAAAAAAGGGTTACGCATTGCTAGAGTACTTTCTCTACAGCTGACTTTACCAACACTTTCTGTCTAGGATCACATGTGGAAAGTGGATTAAAATATGAAGAACAATAACCAGGCATTCATAATATATTAATACTCCCACTTGTGTTTTCATCTTTTTAAAGTGACCTTTACCTACTTTTCTTCCCCCCAACCCCCAAAAAAGCCAAAGTCTACTACATATTGCAGTACATGTTCACAAATACAAATCAGGAATCATGAATGGATAAGATGACATTATTCACTGTATTGTCATCTGTAAATATGCCATAAAGCCAATCCACTCACTGCTTTGTAGGGAATCATTACTCTACAGTGCATGCCCTGTTATGGTTTTGCTGGATTGTTTGGGATTTGGCAATTAGCATCAACATTTCAACTTGGCTATGTATTGCTTCTTTTTGCAAATTACAGAACTCTCCTAAAACTGTCAGTCTTGATATGATGTAATCTTCTATCACTGGCAGCTACAAAGTGAAGTATCAAATTTTTGCGGCAAAAAACAACTAACCTCGATCCAGGTCTCATACTATTAACTCCATGGGAGCCACTGATTGCAGTGTTGCTGACACCTGAAGTTTGGTCTGTTAGAATCTCCGGCTCCTTTACGACAACTTCAGACCGTGCTCCCACTGTATGCTCATCAGTCGATGCTGCACTGCAAAGCTGTACTGGAAGAACCTGTTCCTCCGTCTGTACAGTGGACACTGCTATAGTTGATTCATTGGGTTCAACGTGTATAGTTTGTTGCCAATTAGTTTGCATTTGTTGCTGTTCCTCCTCCCCTTGATCTTCTGAAGCCACACTGAGAAGCTGGCTCACTGCCTGTGAACTTTCCAAACTGGATTGAGCTGCGTCCTTTGTGCCGATAGACACATCTGTTGTTTCCTGTCCATTTACAGAAAAAAATATGCTTTGAGAGCTTGCTAAGAAAAATCTACTCAGTATTATGTATACATTCTTGCTTCTTCTTAACAAAGATTTTGCAACAGAGCATACAGAAATAAGCTATAATATTCTGTTCAATTTGTTTAGAATGGAATATTGCAAAGCCAACATGTGAGTTCAGTCTATAATTCCTGTATGAAGTTCAGCTAATCATTGTACCTGGGCAGTTGCGATGACCTAAAATATAACTATATGAACTAAAATACTAAGAAATTACAGAATAACCATAGTGCTAGTCCTTTAATTGTAATAACTTACATTATCTTTAACCTAATACAGCATGTTTCCATTTAACAATAGGAATGTTGAGACTTCTAAACAAAGCTACTTCACTTTTAAAAAAGAAAGAAATTAATCTGTGAGCCATTCTTCGTCTGGCACTGGAACACTAAAGAAAAGTAAAACTGATTATTTTAAAATATTTACTTTTAAGAACAAAGTTTCTAAGAGAATACATTTTCATTTTAAAAGAATGCAAAATTAAAAACTGTCCCTTCATTTGGAGGTTTGACGAAATTCAATTCCTAGATATTTTAAATGAAGGACAGGGCTTATATCATTCAATTTTATAATCCTTCCAGAGACACATGTGATCAATATTAAAAGCAGTTTCAGCAATGTTAAAATTTGCATTTTCTTAAGTGGAAAAGTTTCAATTGCTAGTTACAAATTCATGAATGCAAAATAATCCTACTTCATACAGACAATATTGGTTGAGGAAAAAAAAACATGAGAAACAGGAAAAGTACAGCAATTCTTTTATCAACCAGCACCTATGGGACCAGGAGTGTGCTGGTTGATCAAATATTTCGGATAATCAAGAGGTCCACAAAATCAATGTAAAAACTGACACTAAGTAATAGGAATGTAAGGTAGGGGGTACACACATTACTTTTATACTTTCTTTACAGCATAAATCACTTAAATGATAATGCAACTTTGCCTTAAATGAAGCTTACTGGCAGACAGCCTTCCCACGCTCAACTGACGATTCAGACATTGTGGTAGATCGCAATATTTGAGGAGAAATTGACTCAAAATTGAATCAACTGTTGATACTTTGTGTGACCATTCAATTAAACAACAAGCATACTTACATCAAGGTAAATAAACGAAACAACTATAATAATTGGATAGAATAATATTCAGTAAACTTAGTATTTGGAGGTACATAATTTTTGCAGGTTTATCGAGAATGCCAATTAAAACAAAGTTTGCTATGCATTTAATAACATACCTTGTTTTGCCTCTCTTGATTACATTCCACATGTACATTTAACACTTGCAATTCCTTACCCTGTTATAAACAAATCATGGTCAAAATTGATATGCATGGAAAAAAAGATTTCTTAAAAATACAATTTACTTAAACAAGGCATCAGCTTCATCTCAAAGCTCTACTTTTAAAGATAGTGTGGAAGAAGTACGAAATGATTGATGCATCAGGGTTCTTCACCTCCAGTGTTACCATGTTTAGTCCAGTAACTATCACAGATAGGAACCAAAATATATAGTTCTTTCTCAAAAGGAAGTAGTCCATAAAGACTTTGTATTCATCTAAAGTTGATGAATATTTTGAGTAAAGAGAAATTCCTAATGTGGCCACAAAATGTCTTTGCTGAAGGAGACAAATGAGTCAGAAAACCATCTCATCTTCAGTCCAACTGTAAATTGTAAGTTCGTCAAATGGTTTATGACAATATCATCCGAGCTCTAGTTTCAAGGATGGCCATTATAATTGAAATTGGCTTTTACTTCCAGATGTTCCTAATTATTCTATTGGGACTAAAACTAGATTTAATTATCATCAAATGTGTTATTAAATTACCTTTGGAATCCATTTCCCTCCCAGCCACTTGCCACAATTTGGACATTGTGGAGGTTTGTGCCTTGTGACATATGTAAACAAACAGTTTGGATTTGGACAACTGCCACGACCTCTTCGTGTATAGGTTGTCTTTTGGGCAAAGATGGGCTGTAGAAAACAAAACGGATTTCAAACACAGTTAGCAGTTGCACAACATTCACAGCAATTTTCTTTGGACATATAAAAACTCAAAGTAACAATTTAATATAAATATGCGGTACCACAGTGTGACTGGATGTCTCAGCCTTGCTCCCTGTTAATTTTTTTTAAAACCAAGTTGTTGTGTAGTTTTGGGAGATTAACTTATATAATCTTAAACATGTTCTTTTTCTCCCCCCTCTACAACTTGTTGAACCAATGAGTTAAACCCATCCAGTGACAATGGTGATTCTAGTATTGCAAATAAAAATGTAAAAATGAACTTGGATTGTGAGATTCATAAAAGTTGAAAATTCAAGACAGCCAGTTCTTCTAGTATAATTCTATGCAGGGCTTGATGAATTGTTCCTTTGGCGAGCCAGCAGAAACAACACGCCAAATGGCCTCATTCTGTGATGCTATGCACATCGCAAATACTATGTTTTTCATTATATTTTGTTTTTCAAACAAGATTCAAATAGTAGGAAAGGTACCAGAAATTGGGAAAACAGAAAATCCTGAAGCACTTGGCATGTCATTCAATACTTGAAGCAAGAAGAGACATGTTAATCTTTCAAGGTTGCAACATTTGATGGAAATACAATTTTTTTTTTAGAATAATCACTAGCTACACTCCCCAAAGGGAAGTTGCTTACAGTAAGTATGGCTCGAGAAAATGAAGTGCACTGAAACATATGTTACAAAAGAGCCATTTAAATTATAACACTAAAAATCATTGTCAAAATATGAACTTCTTTTAACCACACAAATTGAAGGCGAGAGTTTCCTTGGAATATAGGAAATACAAACTTTTGACTAAGGGGATTTTGAATCAAGTTGTAAGCACTCCTTGACAGCATTGTGGATCTATCTACAGCACATAAACTGTAGTGATTCAAGAAGGCAGCTTACCAACACCACACATGTCTAAAGGACACATGGTCTAGCTAGTGGCACCCACATCCAATGAATAGAAAATGAAAACTTTTGATAGGGAACTACAGAAGTGACCGTGATTTCCTAGAATGGCTAATGACAACAGATTGGAAGAAAAACGAAATTGTTTCACTTCAATTGCTTTGTTTTATTCAAGTATTGATTTAGACAGAGGATATTAAATGTGAGATGCATATTATAGACTTCACTTTACAACTTAAGGAATATGATGACTAAGAACAGAACAGAGTGTAGTTCAGCACAGACATTTCTTCAAAACATACAACTAGCTACCACATGAAGCAATGAAAGCAAATAGATTAGATATGGTCAAAAGTAAACTACACTTATGCATATTAGATAAGAATAAAAAAAGGATATGCTGGGGAATTGGAGAGGGTGAAGGCTAAGGGAAATGAAATTCAAGTAGACTTGCATCTAGTACAAACACTGACAGAAAAGTTGGCCCATTTCTGTGCTCCATAATCCATGTAATTGTTTATAACCAACAAGGAAAACAAACTCATTAGAGCCTTCTAGTTATTACTGCATATAAATATTCCTGCTAAATATAAAATGAACTAATATTTATTTTATAAGGGTAAGCTCAAATAAATGACTATGATAGCTAGTCATAAAATGGACTTTTAATCCAGTAAACACATGACTCTAAATACGATATTTATCAAACTTTCAGGTCATGCAAACTGCAAGGGTAGATTATTCAAATACAGTTTTTCAGTTGTCATGTCAGAAAATCAACAACACGCATTTACAGAGACCGCTCCCAAGACAGAAAATGTATTTTTAAAAAGCTGAAAACATAATAGGATTACCTGGCAAATTTTGCTCTACACTCCTATTCAAATATAGAATTCTACCACAGCTTGCTTATACAAGTTCTGACCTTTTTTGTTGGAGCTGTTGATGATTGTTTGCTTGTCAACGGTAACATTAAGAATTGGGTAGTCGATGCTGGAACATTTTCCCCTGAATCCTAATAAGGAAAATTAATTTATATTGTCACTTCATTGTAAATAGCATGTAAACAATGACCATTAAAATAAAACTATTCATTTCCATCATAAATTCAAGCATTTTGTGAAGTGGATCAATTGATAAATAGGTCCTGCATTTACCTCAAACAGCTTAAAAATCTTCGCTATTTTCCTACCTACTATCTGTTCCAGCAAGGTGTGAGTAGCACATGGGCAATGCAAAATGTGGTTGTGGATGTCACACATACTTGCTATATTCAAAAAAAAATGTTGAGGCCATCACTATTTTTCTCAATTTTTGTTTGGAACTGAGAGATGAAGTTGAAAATTGAACTTCAAACAGCAGTTTGTTTTAAAAAGAGACACAAAAGACCACTGTTTGCTGTTGAGTGCTGGCCTGGAATGATAATGCAGTTAACTACGAATATCAGGACACTGCAGATGATTTGGCACCGAGACGCTGCCATAGTCCAGACTGACAGCTGGTCAGATGTTAAATTAATCAAGGGAGGACCAATGCTGGCTAGCCTACCATAGAGAATGTTGAAAATGAAAGCGAAAACAATGAGTGAACTGTTGCAGACTGGGTTTTGATCAGGACGCAGTTTAGCCAAGGAAACTCCGGACTTCTGTTTTTTTTTGGGTTTCACGCTCTCTAATTTCTCTCCAGTTATCAACTTTTTGAATGTTCTGAGAAAAGAATCTCAGTCTATAAGAAACAAGTAAAAGTCTCTAGAAGACGACTGTAATTGTTTACATTAACTAGTCACTTCAGAATTCAAACAAGATATTGAGTTGTACATGCCTGTAATACCACTCCCTCATCCAAGAATTTCATGAAGATCTGGTATTCATTTTCGTAATGGTAATAAACTGGCAAACTGTGACTTTTTTTAAAAACTTTGTTTCAATTTATCTCTCACTCTGTTTGTCTATCAGGGGCTTATGATCCAAGGAGGTTTGGCTGAGATCCTAGATATTAATTGCTTTGTTGTCTGTGTTCACTAAAGTGACATTATTAATAATAAATTGTTAATTTTGTTTAAGTTATAAACTTAGTCCCCAAGATCTGTTACTTGTAAAATTTGGTTAAGAACAATTAAACAAATTTGAGGGTCATTGAATGTTTTAATTTCACTATGTTGTGAGTCCAGTGATATTGAGACTGTTCTGGTTTGGCTTACAATTTCTAAGTTGTAACAACAAGGCTCAAATTTCTGCACAGATAAATAAATTCTAGTCTGGCAGGTTCAATGAAATGAAGGGTAAAAACAACTTGCAGAAATCCCTCTGGTTCATAGCCAAATGATGGCCAATGTGCTGCGCAGGATTTTGATTTGTGACAAAAAATCCTGATCGCTCTAACTTTGATAAAGAATGAAGTCAGTAGTGCTGGACACATGGAAGGAGTTTGCATAATTTCCCCTCCAGTTTCCAATTTTTTTTACGTATTCATGAGATGAAAGCATCACTGGTAAGGCCAATAAATAGCACCCTCTTCAACTGCCCTTGGCTTATTACTGCCTTCCTGAACCATTGTAGTCCATGAATGTGGGTACATTGTATTGTTAGAAAAGGAGTTCCAGGATTTTGATCCAGTTACAATGATTGATATAGAGGGGAGTTAGACTAAAAGTAAGTTGCTCATAGACAATTAATTTGAACACACCTGCTTTCGCATCGGGTCTTTTGTGGACTCAGGACATGCCAAGATTTTTTTAAAAATTCATGGCATGTAGGTACCACCGGTTAGGCCAGCATTCATTACCCATGCCTAATTGCACTTTTATGGGACTGCTTAGAATCAGTCGACTGGTCCATATTTAACAACTCAGCTGCCAACCTAAACGAGTGTAGCGCTAGCATTACAGACTTCACTAGTAAGTGCGTACATGACTGCGTGCTGAAGAAGGTAATCCAAACACTTCCCAACTGAAAACCACGGATGAACCAGGAAATCCACTGCCTCCTGAAGTCCAGGTCTGAGACATTCAAGTTGGGTGACCCCAACTTATACAGGAAATCCAAGTACAACTTTCATAAGGACATCAGGGACTCCAAGTGGCAATACCAAACTAAGCTTAAGACCCATACTAACCACATGGACACCGGTCGTATGTGGCAAGGCTGACACAACATAACGGGCTACAAAGTGAAGACAAACAGAATTGCAGGCAACAGTATATCCCTACTCGATGAGCTCAACACATTCTACGCTCGCTTTGAACTGAAGACAATGAAACAATATCACCTGCCCCATTAGCCTCAGATGCACCTATACCCTCAATCACTGCCGCAGACATTAGATCAGCCTTCTTAAGGCGAGTCCATGGAAAGTGATCGGCCTAGATGGAGTCACCGGCCGTGCACTCAGATCCTTTGTGGACCAGCTGGTGAGAGTATTCTCAGACATCTTTAACCTCTCCTTACTATGATGTGAAGTCCCCATCTGCTTCAAGAAGCGGGATGGTCTGCAAACAGGAGGTCAGGTGCATAGGACGTGGGTGGGGGAAGGTATGGTGGTCAGTAGGACTCCATCCTTCCACACCACACCCCCATCCTTCAATCTTCTTCACGGCCACTCTCTTCCCCCGTTAACCCAAGATCATTTGAATGTGCATTAATTAATTTAATTTAAACAGTGCATATACATATGGTGGCAGCAGACTTGGTCTTACATTAAAAAAGATGCTATATAAATGTAACTTGTTGCTCTTGCTTATTAAAAACATGAATTATGCTTGGTCCTTATATTACATTCGTTCAATATAAAAATATGGGAACATAGGAAATTGGAGCATGACTAGATGATTCAACCACTTGAGCCTGCTCCTCCATGAGATCATGGCTGATCATCTACCTCAATTCTATTTTCTCCATGTCCCTTCACTATCTAGAAATCTCTCAATCACTATCCTGAACGTACTCATTTACAGATCCCTGACAATCCTCTGCAAAAGAAATTTCCAAAGATTCATGCCGAGTGAAGAAATTCCTCTTCGCCTTAGTCCTAAACCGCCCATCCCTTATCCTGAGACAGTGTTCCTTATTTCCAGAGTGTCCCCAGCCATTCTGCATCTACCCCGTCAAGCCCTGTGAGAACGTTATATATCTTAGTGAGGTCACCTCTCAATCATTTGAACTGTAGAGATCACATAGGTAACCAATCTCAATACTTTGAGATGTAGGGATTGAAAGCAAATAGAGTTTCTTACCTGTTTGTTATTAATACAAACAGCCTGTCCGAGAGCTTTATGAGAAGTGAGATTCCCACTTGGTTTGCTCTGATCTGATAATACTGCCATCACAGGATTAACTTCCACAGTTTGCTGGTTTGTGCAGCTAGCAACACTTTCTGAAGCATCACTTCCTGCACCTATCAATGTTCCTTCAATAACAACACAAGGAGAATCATAAGGATGTGTCAACTCTAAAGAAGTCTCATTGGTGGTCAGTTCTCCTGCCACTTTATCATCTCCAGAATTAGAAAATTGAGAAAGCATCTCCGATGTAACAATCTCCTGCATTGTTTCAGTGTGAATGAAAGCTTCATCGGTAATTCCATCAATAGCAATGCTCTCCTCAGTACTGTCAATAGGGCCTGTAAAAAGGCTCTGTATAGTGTCGTGGGTAAGAGTCTGCCATGTTGGATTGCCTTCACCTTCCCTCTGTGTAGGAGATTGAGCCAGCTGCTGACCATTTCCATCACCAGGCAGATTAGAAGTGGGAATTATAATATAACTGGAACGAGGAAGAATTTTACGGAATCCTGGAATATCAGTTGGAGGGGCACCAGCTGATGCATTGATTAGTTTATCACTCTGTAGAGTGCAAAAAAGAGCACACATGAGCACAACTCATTTGTGTAGCATTTGATTAAATTTAAAAATATAAATACAAAGAGGCAAAGTTTTCACTTTTGCTGGAAACGATTATTATTTTAACACCAATATCATGTTTGAGTGCAAGAGATAAATGTTATTTGAGAGCAATTGCTTGCAAAGTAAACATCAAATTTAGAGGTCCAAATGACATCACAATCAGAGCAAAGGATAAATAATAGGTTGATATTTCAATGCAAGATTACAGCCTTGAGAGAATCCTAGTGTTATTTGTTCTTTAATCAGATACAGCTTGTTTTCATACAAGATGGCCATATTCAGATTCATCTTTTTGTTGACAGTACTTTTTCTAAAGTACAGATGGAAACATCAAATATTTTATTGCTGAGGAATGATGACATTAGCAAAAAGACACATGATTAAACTAAATCACTGTAAATGTAATCCAGAAATAGTTTTCAATGACAGACAAATGTGATCCAGCAACGCTACAGTCTCTAATGTTACTAGTTTTCAGCCAAGTATCATTTAATATTAAACAAAAAAAAAAGAAAGAACTGCAGATGCTGGAAATCAGAAACAAAAAAAATCAGAAATTGATGGAAAAACTCAGTAGTTGTGGCAGCATCTAGGGAGAGAAACCAGAGTTGATGTTTTGGTTCCAGTAACCCTTCTTTAGAACTGATAGTAGCTAGGAAAAGGTTGGTATATGCTGGCGAAGGGGTGGGGAATGTGGGAACGAGTAAATGATAGGTAGAAATGGAGGCCAGAGACAGAAAAAAACAGTTGTGCTGGCAAAGGAGTGGGTAAAGGTCAGCCAGGGAGGAGGAATAATGTTAATGAAGATCGTAAATGACTTACAATGGGTTAGTTGTACTAGCAGGCCATGTGATAACAAGGCTTGGTGTGTAGTATGGAACATTCCTTGTTCAAGTCCTACTCAGGGCATTGCCAACAACAACTTCTCCTGAATATCAATAATGTCATCAGTGCTGCTTCCTGCTCGTCCAGAATTGGAAAAAAAATTAGTTTTGCTTTCGATTTCCATCTTTCCCTCACAGTCAACAAGGTGTAGAGCTGGATGAACACGGCAGGGCAAGCAGCATCAGAGGAGCAAGAAAGCTGACGTTTCAGGTCTGGACCCTTCTTCAGAAATGGGGGAGGAGAAGGGGATTCTGAAATAAATAGGGAGAAAGGAGGAGGCAGATAGAAGACGGATAAAGGAGAAGATAGGTGGAGAGGAGACAGACAGGTCAAGGACGTGGGGTTGGAGCCAGTAAAGGTGAGTGTAGGTCGGGAGTTAGGGAGGGGATAGGTCAGTCCAGGGAGGATGGACAGGTCAAGGGGGCGGGATGAGGCTGGTAGGTAGGAGATGGGGGTGGGGCTTGAGGTGGGAGGAGTGGATAGGTGGGAGGACAGGTTAGGGAGGCGGGTACGAGCTGGGCTGGTTTTGGGATGCGGTCGGGGAAGGGGAGATTTTGAAGCTTGTGAAGTCCACATTGATACCATTGGGCTGCAGGGTTCCCAAGCGGAATATGTGATGCTGTTCCTGCAACCTTCGGGTGGCATCGTTGTGGCACTGCAGGAGGCCCAGGATGGACATGTTGTTCAAGGAGTGGGAGGGGGAGTTGAAATGGTTCGCGACTGGGAGGTGCAGTTGTTTGGTGCAAACCGAGCATAGGTGTTCCGCAAAGCGGTCCCCAAGCCTCCACTTGGTTTCCCCGACTCTCTGTGACTCCCTTGTCCACTCCACACCAGCCCCATCACCCCGGCACTTTCCCTGCAACGGCAGGAAGTGCTACACCGCCCCTACACCAACCCCTCACCCCCATCCCAGGCCCTAAGAAGACTTTCCACATCAAACAGATGTTCACCTGCACAGCTGCTAATGTGGTATACTGTATCCTCTGTTCCAGGTGTTGCGTCTTCTAAGTCAGGGAAACCAAGCAGAGGCTTGGGGACCGCTTTGCAGAATACCTACGCTTGGTTTGCACCAATCAACTCCCCCTCCCACTCTTTGGACAGCATGTCCATCCCGGGCCTCCCATACTGCCACAACGATGCCACCCGAAGGTTGCAGGAACAGCATCTCATATTTCGCTTGGGAACCCTGCAGCCCAATGGTATCAATGTGGACTTCACAAGCTTCAAAATCTCCCCTCCACCAAACGCATCTCAAAACCAGCCCAGCTCGTGCCCGCCTCCCTAACCTGTCCTCCCACCTCCATCTCCTACCTACTAACCTCATCCCGTCCCCTTGACTTGTCCGTCCTCCCTGGACTGACCTATCTCCTCCCTAACTCCCCACCTACACTCACCTTTACTGGCTCCAACCCCGCCTCCTTGACCTGTCTGTCCCCTCTCCACCTATCTTCTCCTTTATCCATCTTCTATCCACCTCCCCCATTTCTGAAGAAGGGTCTAGGCCCAAAACGTCAGCTTTCCTGCTCCTCTGATGCTGCTTGGCCTGCTGTGTTCATCCAGCTCTACACCTTGTTGTCTCAGATTCACCAGCATCGGCAGTTCCTACTATCTCTTTCCCTCACAGTCACCTGGTCCTTCTGATTCTTCCCTTCCCTTCCTTGACTTAACTTTCTTTACTGGGGATAAGCTACCCACCAGTAACCCATCAACTCCCAGTTACCTTGACTGCACTTCCTTACACCCTGCTTCCCACAAGGACACCATTCCATTTTTCCAATTTCTCTGTCCAATCATGCCGTTTTTTGCATAGGTGCCTTCTTTTTCCTCGAATGAGGATTTGATCTCATGGTTGTCAGGGCCCCCAGCCTCGTCCAGTCCCATTTCCAGTTCTTCTACCTTCGCCCATTCCCCTTCGTCAGAAAACAATAGGTTCCCCTTATTGTTCTTCTCCAACCCATTAGTCTCCACATTCAAAGGATCATCCAGTGCTGTTTCTGCCATCTCCAGCAGGATACAACCATCACATGCATCTTCCCTCCCCTCCCTCCACTATCACCAACCTGCAGGGACTGTTCACTCCCGCAACAGCCTGATCTACTCCCCCATCACTCCTAAGATTTCTTCACCCCAACCCATGGCACTTTCTCATGCAATCAAAGATGATGTAACACTTACAATTTCACTTCTGCCCTCCTCACTGCCAAAGACCCAAAGAACACATTCCAGATGAAGCAGTGGAGCAGTCACTTATTTGAACATCTTTAAGTATAGTCCACTGTACTTCCTGGTCAAATATGGTCACTTTTACTTTGGTGAGACCAAACACAGGCTGGATGATCACTTTGCAGAACACCTTTGCTCAGTCTGTCATAATATGCCCAACCTTCCAGTCATTTGAAATTTCAACAAACCATCTTGCTTCTATTCCAACATTTCCATCCTTGGTCTGCTGCAATTTTCCAACGAAGCTCAGTGCAAGCTGGAGGAACACCACCTCATTTTCCACTCATACGTTTTATAGCCTTCAGGATTTGATCAACACATTTCCTCTTTTTCGTTTACCCCTATTTTATATCGGAGTCGCTCCTTTACCACCATTAGCACAGTTTTCATCATTTGTTTTAGGCACCCTGATCAATTTACACCATTCCCATCTACAGCATAAAAAATACTATTTTCCGGCCCCATTCAGTTCTGAAGAGTCATATCAGATTCAAACCTTTCACTCTGACCCTCTCGCCACAGATGGTGTTAGACCTGCCGGGTTTCTCCAGCATTTCTGTTATTGATTTCAGATTTCCAGCATTCACAGTATTTTGTTGCTATTATTGCAGCTACAAGAGAAAACTTTTTACCGGATCTATTCCTTCTTTTTCCAGCTTTGCCTTTTCAAGGTAAATACCCTTTTCAGCAACACTGAGTCGCCTCCAGCTTTCACTGATTTTCTTGTTTATCTCAGACCGAGGCAAATTTGGAAAATCTTGCTGCACTTTTAAATGAGTGTCATAATAGTACAATAAATATGCCGGCCTGAAATAAAGAAACAACAGTTTAAAATAGAGTTTTCATGCAGGTCACTGGCATGAACAAAAAGAACAGAAACCTAGTGAAATTTGTCATTCCTGAAATATTCTACAAGACACCAGTGTTGCTCAAAGCCAGTGACTGAAACATGTCTGATTTTAATAGCTCTACCACTGGTGGCTGCATCTTCAGTTGTCGAGTCTCCAAGTTCAAGGATACTGTCCATGCCCCTCTCTATCTTGATTTCCCACCTTTAAGATACTCTTTTAAGCCTTCCTGCGAGGTACTTCGGGACATTTCATTACATTAAAGGCATTATATAAACAGGTTGCTGCGGTTGTTTAAAGGGAGCCAGATTAAATATTGGAAGATATCCCACAAGTGAAAAGATTTTGACACTAAATCAAATTTTAAAATGCTTTTTAAAATAATGAACATTCATCAAAAATATGGAGATATTGTTAAAGATCTGCTTTCATGAACCAAAATGTTTCTGTCTTAGCCAAGATTCTCAAAAATCAGGATTTCTCTCCTAATTGCAACAAACTTATCACTGCCTCAGTCAGAATTCACTTAATCAGCAAACTAGGGATTGACCTTGGCACTTGGCTGGTATCTATGGCTTAGCTTCTTACTGGATAAACTTGGAAAGTGACAAGAGCCACAGGACTTAAAAATAAAGATGAAGCTTCCGTATCAGGATAATGAAAAGATTTAATATATGAGGGTTTTATCCAAATACATTGCAAATAAAACTTCAAAAGCAAGCTACATGACTGTCAAGAAGTACCGTATAGTTCTTAATGTACTTCTATTTTGTTTAGCAGAATACTGATATATTCAACACAAGTCTACGAGTCATAGGACTTGATATCATAGAATGAATCCCGTGTTCAGTCCGTCATTCCTACACTAGCTTTCGGAAAGATTTGCCCACTCAGGCCCATTTCTCTAATTTCTACCCAACCCATCTATTTCCCTCTAAAAGCTAGGACGGTTCTCCTTTGGATAGTTCTGATCCGAAATACAGTAGCCTAATAATGCTTTTGGTAACGTAGCGTAATGGTAATTTGCCTATCCCCGACCCAAGACGCCTAGGTTCATGTTCCACCTGCTCCAGAGGTGTGTAATAACATCGCTGAACAGGTTGATTAGAGAAAAAGATTAAATAAAAAATACCCTAAAACATTGTTTTGTTTATACGATTATCTTAAACTTGTGCCATCTAGCTATTGATTTGATTTATTATTGTTACATGTACTGAGACAGTGAAGAGTACTGTTTCACGTGCTATCCAGACAAATCATACCTTACATACGTACATCAGCGTAACAGAACAGAATGCAGAACATAGTGTTACACGTACAGAGAAGGTGCAGAGAAAGTTTAACCCAAGTCTGATAACAGCAGGGAAGAAGCAGTTCTTAGAACCATTGGTATATGTTTTCATATTATTGTATCTTCTGCCCGACTGAAAAGGGTGGAAGAGTGTATAACAGGGGTGGGAGGGGTCTTTCATTATGTCGGCTACTTTCCTGAGGCAGCGGGAAGTGTAGATGGAGTCAATGAAAGGAAGGCTGGTTTCCGTGACGGACTGGGCTACATTCACAACTCTGTGTAACTTGTTGTGGTCTTGGGAAGAGCAGTTGCCAAACCAAGCTGTGATGCATCTGGATTTTATATTTTCTACAGTGCATCCATAAAAATTAATAAGAGTCATTGTGGGCTGCCGAATTTCTTTAGCCTCGAGAAGTAGAGGCTTTCATGTGCTTTCTTGACTGTAGAATCCACATGGATGGACCAGGATAGAGAGTTGGTGATATATATTCTTAGGAACATGAAGGTCTCGACCACCTCCACCTCAGCACCAGTGATACAGACAGGGACCTATCCTCCACCCCATTTCCTGAAGTCGGTGACCAGTTCCTTTGTTTTGCTGACAAGGAGTGAGAGATTGTTGTCTTTACACCATGCCACTAAGCTCTCTATCTCTTTCCTGTACCCTTTCTCATCGCTGTTTGAGATCTGACTCACTACGGTGGCGCCATCAGCAAATTTGTAAATGGAGCTAGAGCTGAAGCTGAATTTGGTCATACAGTCGTGAGCATGTAAGGAGTACCGTAAGGGACTGAGTATGCAGCCTTGCAGGGCACCAGTGTTGAGTGCTATTGTGGAGAGTTGTTGTCGCCTATCCTTACTGATTACAGACTGCAGGCGACAGCCTGGTGGCATTATCGCTGGACTGTTAATCCAGAGACCCAAATAATGTCCCGGGGATCTGGGTTCAAATCCCGGCATGGCAGATGGTGGAATTTGAACTCAATAAATATCTGGAATTAAGAATCCAAAAACGACTGTGAATCCATGGTTGATTGTCGGAAAACCCCATCTGGTTCACTAATGTCCTTTAGGGAAGGAAACTGCCATCCTTACTTGATCTGGCCTACATGTGACCCAGAGCCACAGCAACGTGGTGACTCTTAACTGCCCTCTGGACAATTAGGGATGGGCCATAAATACTGCCTAGCCAGCGACACCCCTCATCCCGTGAATAAATAAAAGGTCAGAAGTGGAGGATCCAGTAGGAGTGGGGGGAAGCATAGTCCTATGTATCAGAGCTTGGAGAGGAGTTCGGTTGAAATTATGGTGTTGAAGGCAGACCTGAAGTCAATAAATAGGAGTCTGGTTGTCCTTGTTATCTAGATGTTCCAGGGTTGAGTGCAGGGCCAAGAGGATGGCAGTCTACTGCAGATCTATTGCAATGGTAGGCAAATTGTAGCGGATCAAGGCAATCTGAGATGCTAGAGCTGAGGTGTGCCATTACTAACCTCTCAAAGCATTTATAAATGGTGGATGTCACAGCCGCCAGGTGGTAGTTATTAAGGCACGGTGTCTAATTTTCTCTTGGCACCGGAACGACAGTGATCTCTTGAAGCAGGTGGGAACCGCACACTGTAGTAAGGAGAGGCTAAAAGATGTTTGCAAATACTCTCACCGGTTGGTCCATGCAGGATCTGAGTGCATGGCTAGGCACTCCCCATGGGTTCACTCTCCAGAAGGCCTATCTGATGTCTGCAGCAGTGACTGTGGGTACAGGTGCACCTGAGGCTGTCAGGCAGGTGACATCATTTCACTGATCTTCTGTTCAAAGCGGGCATAGAATGCATTGAGCTCATTGGGGACAGATACATTGTTGTCAGCAATTCTACTTGACTTTGCTTTGCAGCCCTGTGCAAGCCTTGCCACAGTCGACCTATGTTTGTGAGGGTAGTCTGGAACTCCAATTTAATCTGGAATTGTCTCTTGGTGTCCCTGATGGCTTTGCAAAGATCGTACCTCGATTTCCCATATATGTCACAGTCACCCAACTTGAATACCGCAGACATGGACTTCAGCAGGGAGTAGATCTTCCGGTTCATCTATGGCTCCTGGCTAGCAAACGCTTGGATTAACTTCTTCAGCATGCAGTCTTGTACACACTTACTGATGAAGTCTGTGACAGAAGTGGCATGCTCGTTTAGTTTAGTTATTGATTCATAAACTGAAAAATTGCCCCAGATCTTTCAGTCAGCAGCAGTCAAAGATTGAGTTTGGTTGGAGTTGAGTCATACAATTAATAACAGAGTTATGTCAAAGACTGAGCAATGCACACTGCTGCTGTATTTTACAACTTGAAGATCCTATCTCCGCTGTTGTGCTTGGATCCCATCAGGCCGTCATTCCAATTTTAAAATGTGCATATCAAAATCACCAAGTCTCCTGGCTCCTCTACTAATTTTAAAATTTTGTCTTATATTTCCTTCCCTTACGTTTCTTCCAAAAAATGTATCAGTTCATATTTCTAAATCAAGACAGTTTTGAGGCTAGGAACTGTACAAATGATTAATTTCAATAAAGTCAGGAATTACTACTTAAAAAATAATCAATCAATCCACTATACAACTAAAGAGCATGTTCTTAAAGTGGTGAGAGTACCTGATTTCTGTTTGTAAATTGGATGAAATATCCATATTCAATGCTACAGAACACATTCAAGACTGACTCCATCCGTCAACATATTCTCTGTTTTTGAACACTCTGCAGTATCATTACCACAAATCAGATTTTGGGAATTTTGGAGAAGCATAGTTTTAGAATGGAGCTGACACCAATCAGTTCATCACATCTGTGCTAGATCTCTAAAAGAGCTATTCAATGACTTCTGTTCTTTTGTCCTTACCAATAACTTTTCGATTTACAAATAATTTCATTTTTACAAGCCAATATCACCGATGCTACACTCTCTATTATCTGCTAAAGTATTCTATTTTTGTTTTTAATAATCTTTCTATACATGTTCGCTGTTCTCTTATTTAGCTCATCAAAATCCTTCTTAATTTTCCAAAGCTTGTCAGGTCCTGAACCCTAGTTGGGTCTAACATTGCAAGGACCATGTCATGCAGTCTCCCTTGATAACTCTAAAATCTCATCCCTAATACAATCTTAACATATCTTTTAATTGGCCTCTCTAATGGCAGTGACATCATTCTGAAGGTAGGGCTTTAAAATCTGGACACCACGTTTGTTGGAGCCCAATAAGTAATTCTGTTTAGGTTTTGTATTCTCTAATTAGAATAATTTCTACATCAGTTTAAGTTTCAACATATGTTCAGTGTTTAAGTCTCAGTGTTAAATGCATGGACAGTGATAGAACACTTCAATGTTACAAATATATCCAGTAGGAGTGATATTAATTCCTAATTGGATCAAACTGAAGCCAATCAGACATAGAACCAGCTTGCGAATGAACCAGAGCAAAGCTTTAACGCGGGTGCTGTCATATAGCAATATTATAATTGAAAAATCTTCCACATAATGAAGTTTAGCAAAGTAGTGCATTTTACACACTTGCAAGCAATCCTAATCATCTAGGTAAGCGTATCATCAGAATTACAGGTGCAGATGCTGGTGCGCTGCACAGAAAATCTGCTGCTACATTACTTCCAATCACTAGGATCAATCCAATAAATACACAAATGGGATGACTGAGGTATGACCTCCAGGCTAAACTTGACCATTTAAGCCTGCTTGAGATTTTAGATGAATAGCATCTTCTGGATGATAAAGAATTGGTCTTTACCTGGGCTTCTTGCTTTTTTTACCTCCATCCTCACTTTGATCTTTCCATTTCTTTTTCTTTTTAGGTGGAAAATTTTTTGTGCAGCTGTAACAGCCTTCAATTTCTTCAGTTACCAATGTTATCTCTGCTCCATCATATGGGGCGTCCATTCCTTATGCTACAGAGACACAAAAAATTAAACTGAAATGCACCACTTGAAAATTGTATACCACCACTTAATAGATGCAATGCAAAGCCAAACAATTTGGATATGAACCTTTATGTGTTTTCAGGCTCTAAATCAAGTCAGAATAATCTATGGGCAATTAAGAGAACAAATGAGAGACTGTATAAATAGTACAGCTTCTTGCAGTTTTTTAAATAGAGAGAATGAGACATTGAAACTTTGTGACTTATTCAAAGCTGGTCTACAATCATTGAAACATGGGATTCTTAATGGGCTTGACAGGGTAAATGTGAGGGAAATGTTTCCCCTCATGGGAAAGCCTACAGCCAGTGGGTAACTATCTCAGAATTAAGGCACACCAGTTTAACAGAACAGGAGGAATTTCTTCTGAGTGCTGACAGTCTTTGGAACTCGTTGCCAAAGAGACAAATAGAGGGCAGAGTAATTGTATATATTTAAGGCTGTGATAGATAGATTCTTGATCAGGACGGGAATCAAGGGTTATGGGGAAAGGAAGTGGACATGAGGAATATCAGTTACAATCCTACTGAATTGTATGATATGGAGGTGCTGGTGTTGGACTGGGATGGACAGTCAGAAGTCACATGACACCAGGTTATAGTTCAACAGGTTTATTTTAAATCACAAGCTTTCACAGCACTGCTCCTTCATCAGCTGAAGTAGTGAGGTCACTTGACGAAGGAGCAGTGTTCCGAAAGCTTATGATTTTAAATAAACCTGTTGGACTATATCCTGGTGTTGTGAGACTTCTGACAGTCTTTAGAACGGCAGAGCAGGCTCAAGGGGCTGAACAGCCTACTCCTGATCCTATTTCCTATAGTCTTAAAAATGTAGTCCACAATCCATTAATTGTTGATTAGTTTCAAACCGATTTCAATGAATTCTCAAGCATCCAGTAAGATCGGCACATGCCTATCAGGGCTTCAGCATATGAAAGCCTCAAAACTAATCGCACAGAGTGGCGGTAGATTTATTTTGTTACTCAACAAATGAGGGGTAAAATTGATTGAATATTACACATTGATGCACAGATAAAATTAACAGAAGATGTGATGTAACACTTTTTCAAATGCTTAATTTAAGTATGATTTCAGGAGGTTACACATTGGTGGAGAACTGCAGGAGTTTGTGATGCATTAAGACACAGGTTCAGTGAATCGAGCAAAGTAGCACCTGAAGATGCAACATTTAGATATAATGATACTTTTGACAAGCTTGTGGGTCATCTTAATAAATAAAGACAACATTTCCATATCTGACCATTACTTCCTCTCTGTTCTGTGTCAACACACATATACATATATATACACACACACACACACACACACACACACACACACACACACACACACA